TCATGTTTGCCTCAATCATTATCAAACTAGGTCAGGATGCTTGTCTTGGTGATAGCTCGGATGAGTTTAAACATGGGTTATCCCGGATGAAAGACTAGGTCACTGGAGCTAAAAATAGAACAAAATGTTAACACTCTAGTGGCTACTGTTTGATCAAAACATCCTTTAAATTGGTCTAAAAGTTTGTTTTGATTATATCTAGGTCAAGTTCGAATATGGGTCACTTGGGGTAAAAAACTAGGTCACACTGCCTAAATATGGAAAAACCTTCTTAACATTCTATTGATTACATTTTTGACTCAATTATCATCAAACTTGATCAGGATGCTCGTCTAGGTCATTGCACGGATAAGTTTGAACATGGGTCATCTCGGATAAAAAAACAAGGTCACCTGAGCTAAAAATAGAAAAAATATTATGAACACTTTAGTGGCTTTTGTTTTTATCCAAATATCCTGTAAATTGGTCTGAAAGTTTGTTTTGATGATTTCTAGGTCAAGTTCGAACATGGGTCATCTCTGTTGAAAAACTAGGTCACACCGCCCAAATATGGAAAAACCTTATTAACACTCTAGTGGTAACAATTTTGATTCAATTATCATCAAACTTGCTCAGAACGCTTTTCAATATATTTGCTCAGATGACTTTGAACATGGGTCGTCTCACATGAAAAACAAGGTCACCGGAGCTAAAAATAAGAAAATTTTGTTAACACTCTAGTGGCTATTGTTTTGATCCAAGTATCCTGGAAATTGGTCTGAAAGTTTGTATTGATGATTTCTAGGTCAAGTTCGAATATGGGTCACCTGGGTAAAAGCTAGGTAACACTGCTTAAATATGGATAATCCTTGTTAACACTCTAGTGGTCACATTTTTGACTCAGCTGTCATGAAACATGGTCAGAATGCTTGTCAAGGTAATTGTTCCGATGAGTTCGATGGTCAAGGGCCATTATGACACTCTTGTTTGAATATTTCTTTTATTTATGAAGGACTTTGCCTTTGTAAAACTTGGCATTTTCAGATTTACCCTTTGGTATGACCAATTGAATGACATGACCTTGACTGGTAAAGAAAATTACACACATGACCTTTCTGACGATCATGGTACGTTCTGCTATGCAAGGTCTTTGAGATCGATTGTTGTATTTAGGTAACTGTTTTAACAACTGTTCGGAGATTCTTACCCGAGCAAGAGATGGGGTATCTTTTGTAAGGAGATGAGGTATCCATCGGGTACTTATCGTTCTTATTTTTAAATATGACTATTGCCTGTATACCAAGAATACATCTGTTCTAGATATAGGACCGTATTTGGTCGGTGAAAGGAGACCATTTCCAACCATTGTCGCTTTAGTGTACACGAGTAGATAGTGTTTTTGTCACAGCTAGACTGAACTGAGTTACACAAGTATAAGTCTCAATTGAGAGCTTACACAACAATCTATGCGATACATGTACATATAGTATATGCAAAATGTGGTTAAAAGCGAATTATTGGCCTAATTGCTTTCATATTTGAGCACACCTCGTATATCTATATGTATATAAATGCTGATAAATTATTTTATCCATACCCAGATGATGATTTCAAGTATAAAACGGCTGGTAACAATTTCAAGCAAAACATAACAAAGGCAGCTTGTGTACAACATTTAATACACTAAAATGACTACATAGATTCATAGCAATACACATGATGTAACCAAGAAACTATTGGTGTAATTTTTTTATCGGATCATTTCTGTATTGTATCTATAAAATTAATTTTACGTCACAATACGGTTCAAGTTAAACCATTAACATTTTCTTTTCAAAATGATTAACCAAAGAAGAAATCAACATATACATGTAATTGTATTCGGGTGCAAAGATTTCCCGTTTTATATTTGTTGTTTATACCAATACAATTTTGCCAATTTGATGAATTGAAGAGACGTTAAAAGGTCCAATAGGTGCCCGAAATCATTTTAATTTCTGAAAAACATTTTATATAAGGATATTTTTTTCAAAATCTTTTTTATTGGCTATATAAAAGAATCATCTTTTGATTCCAGTGCTCTTTGGCAATCTGTACAAGTATAGTGTATCAGTATTTTTTACGGAAGTCAGAATACTACATTGTTTACATTTTACTATATTTTCGGCATGTTACTGCACGATTAGCGCCACTTTTGAAGTTACTTAACATCTAACATGCTCTAAATCTATTATCAAACAATTATTAAACAGTCTTTAATCTTTAATTACATATGTTTGATATATGTGCCTTTAAAGAACTATTTTACTAAAATTAATGTCTGGGTCTATCTCAGTCAACGGTTTTGAATTATTAATAGATTTATGTGTTATGGTAATTTTTGACTAAAAGATACAACACACGGCAATTTGAACTCCAGTTGAAACACTATAAATAAACATTATTTAAAACTGATAAAAATATCTGACATTTAAAATATAATAATATAAAATTCTGTCCCAACTGTTATATCAAGATGTTTATTATTCCAAATCAAATAAGCGAAAAATAAATATCCTTAAGGAACTATCTTTCTGCAACACCTACCCTATTTGCACAATGCCAATTACCTTGAAATAGATAATTTGAAAAGACCGGAGACATATATCCCCATCCCCCATTCACAACATTCGCTGTTGTGAATTAAACAAAAACAAATAGAGTCTGGAATAAAACTTTCAAGCAAAGGAGCAGTGGCAATCATTCTTACAACCTTTAGTATTGTAAAGCATTCACTGTTTCATTGTTTTCTTCCTGTATAAAATAGTGTAGAGTAAAACGTCTTTTAATTCATTGTTTAACATACTGTGCTTAATATTATGCAGTATTCACTCGGTAAACTTATCTAAGGCACACAAAGCCTAAGAAACTATTTTATTGTTTAAAAAGGACAAACATGAATTTAATGTTATTTAGATTATGGTTTCAGACAATATTAGCCATACACGTGAAATAATTTGTCATAAAAGTACCAAATGTAAATAAAGTAGAATTTTGACTTCAACACAAAAAAAAACTTATTTACTCTAACCTTGCTCACTGCTAAAAAGCAACAGATGACAAAAAATGGTTAAGGTAATTGGCGAATAAGTAACTTTTGAGATACTATTTTTAAATTGCAGCAACATTAAAAGGCTTTTGTAAAATAAAAATTAATTTTAAAAGCATTTGTGAGGCATAATGGACCTTTTAAGAATGTCCATAAAAGTACGTTTCCCATTTTAAACTGTAATCAAAATGACAAATTTCTAAAACAACACATCTAGGAAAAAACGTATTTATAACACAAAAATATACCATAACAAATATCTACGAAAGCAACAATATCTAAAATCTAAACGTATAAAGTTAAAATTGTTTATAATAAACTACAGCACACAAAAGAAACAGCAGTAAACGCGTTTTATCCACAAACATCAAAAATATGATTTGACACTGAATAAAATTTTAATAATATCTTGACAATACCTTGAATGTATACATATAAAGATGTTGACAATAAAACAAAACACCACATGTAATTATGATAATTATAAGCAATATATGTTATTAAAAATATGCATTTTGTATTGTAATTTTGCGTGTACACAAACAATCCTTTTCACATTTCGAAATAAGTTTCCGAAGAAAGTTTCCAAATTATCGGATATTTTCCTTTATCATGTTTATAAAGCTCTTTCTGTGTAAGCTTTCGAATTTGATTTAAACATATTCTATTCTTCTTTTTTACACATTTATAACATAATGTTATCATAATATAAACACAAAAATAGCAAAAGGGTTGAACCACAAATACTAATAACATCAGCCAACGGTTCTTCCTTGAAGCTTTCGAATTATCCTCCTTGAACTAACTAACTTGTACTGGTGTCACAAGGGGTACATTGATATCACCTGAGTTGGACTCGAACCAATGTTGCCAGGATTGTAATCTTTACCACAATAACTACCACCCCTCCTCTCTGACAAATAATTCATATACAACAACAGATACAACACTAATAAGAACATGTAAAACAATGATTTGATACAATGGCACCTTTCAAATGTCGAATAATAACCCCAAACACAACGGTAAGAATACACAATTCTATAACTATAAACAACATTGATACTGTGATGACAACATTTTACATAATTAGTTTAATAATATTAATAAAATACCAAATGATTAAATTTTTACAACATCAGTCACACAGTTATTGAAAAACACTGATTAAAAATTTAAAACATCGTCGAAAAAAAACAAACAAACATTTAATGAATATCTTTTAACAGCGGTGACAAATCCCATGTTCATTGATTCTTTAACGATTTTATGAATATTGAATAAGTAAAAATTATATTTTAATTGACAAAATAACAACAACCAATAGCAGACCAAACGCATTAAATTTACCAACATGAAAACAATAATGATTTGCACAATCGCAACTTCTAGGCCTTTTTAATCAGACTTCGGATAAGAATCTCAAACACATTAGTAAGAATACACAGAACGGATAAGGTTTTTTTTGTCTAACCTACGCTAAGTAACCAAACATGTAAATGAAGAGTAATTTTATGCTAAGAATTTAGATTTTTTTTTCAAATGTATCGAGCAGTAAGTAAATTCATATATATACAAGTAAGCAGTACATAATTTATTACCTTATTATGATGGATGTAAAGACCTATTGACATTAATTTTGATTTGGTCATCAGTTGGCATTTTTTATTTGATTATGATGGTAAGGAATATTTTCAATCATTATTTTACCTAAATATAATTTATATCTCTTTTGATGTTAAAACTAAACATTTGTGACACATTATCACAGATTGCACCCTCTGTTTTTATAACATCTTACACCATGTGATAGAAATACATTTTTGTATTTTAAATCCGTATTTAGTCCGAGATTATCTTAAATAAAGGTCAAGTTGGTACGATTATGATTTGACACAGTATGAAAGATTAATTACATAATGTAGGTACAAAAGAAAAAAAAACGTTACACCACTTGAAATTCAAAATATCTACACGGGAAAATAACAAGTCAAGTATTTTCAATTTCCTATTCACGTCATCCTGTACCAATGCAACGCATTTTTGATTTAACTATACAGTGTTGGAGCACAGTATCTCTAGACGATTTCAGAGTTCATGTTCACAAATATATACCGAATACGGGTTATATAATGGTGCGCCAGCACTTATTTTTGTCTCACTCACATATATTACTTAGTACATAAACCGCGTAATACAGGTGACTTGCATTCATTGCATACACATCATTTCTTTAAACCCTTTTCACATTTTAAAATAAGTTTTCGGAGAATGCTACCAAATTGGCGGATATTTTCCTGTAGAGCTCTTTCATCGGCAGCTAGCGTCGCTTTGGCATCGATTACAACAATTGGTTTGTGTACCTATTGACAGAATGGGACATTGTTACTAATTAAACCATGGAAGCTGTGCGTTAAAATGAATAATGTTAAAAGGATATGAGGTAAAAGATTTCAAGGGATGTTTTTAATATAACTAATGACTATTCTTTTTTAAATTTATAAACATTACAACAATTTGACTTTACACCAAGCAAGGATTTCTGCAATGATTTTAACATGTAGGAACGTTATAAGGCATACTTCACGTAATTATCAATTACACTATTTCAATAACTGAGTTTTACTGTATGGAATTTGAAAAGAAGTAGTGCGGTAGACAATATCAATGGTTCTTCCTGGGTTTAAGCGATTATATTTTTTTTTCAATCAAACGATACTAAATATTTATTCTCAAATATTTTAAAATAAAAAAAAAACTGGCATACAATATACAAGCAATATATCAATTTAAAAACATAAATCTATATTGTTGTCCTCTATGTATTATTATTGTTTTGTGTTTTTGTCAAAACCTAAGCTTCACAGTGACCACTTTCTTTATATCTTTGCATATCTTATTTGTTTATATTTTTGTAAATAATGCATATTGAGTGTTATTGCAGAAAAAAAATGGAATTGAAATTGTTTATAAAAACTGTGTAGTTACCTTTGTTTTATACACTTGAATGTAAATGTTTTTCTCACATATCTGATCTATAGCAATATAATTCTCATGCAACAGACGTAGATAATCGGCAAGTTCTTTGCACAGAGCCGCAACAACATTGACTGACAAGCAACTGTCATCATCAAGAATTTCTTGAATACTACGTTTCGTCCCGACTGGTACAAGTTCACTTATCATCCGCACAGATTTGCTAAATTGCTGATATTCTAAAATGGCGGTGCCAATTTCTGAAAAAAATTACACGTTGTATTGATCTATACATTATTGAATCTTATTTGTGCCGGAAACTTCTGTAAATCACGTCATCTATAAATCATTATATTTTTACTGGTTCTTTGCATTTCAAACAGTTTGAACAACAGTCTATGTTGTTCTCCTTAGATCAGATTAAATGGTCACAGTCCTACATCCTACGTCGCTCCTTGTCAGCTGTTTAAACCGTTCACCTTTATATTGCATATTGTCTTGATATTACGTAGCATATATGTAAGTTAAAAAAATTCGTCCCAGAAAATAACAATAAAAGAATTATAGAAGTGAATCTGATTGCAAGTAAGTATTTACCTTTCTGGACCGCTGTTCGACTCTGCTCATCAAGACTTGGATTGAAACTCTAAAATACAAAGTGAAGCACTGATTTCAAATAATACTGTTGCTCATGTGCAAAAACATTATACCTTTAACGTCCGTACTCCATAGAACACTACTATCACTATGAATAGTATGATATTTAAAGTCTAAAACTTCAATATAATATATAATAATAATCGATATAATGAATTACAATAATCATTTAATTAAACATTAGTTTGAGAAAATAATCGGTGGGAATTTAAAAAGGTCGCATAAGACTAGGGTCGCTTAATACACGTGGTCGCATTGACAAGTGAGACTGTATTTAGTAATAGAAAGAGCATCGAAACACGAAGCTATCTGATTTGTTCGAGGGGGCATAGCCCCCGAGTGTTAATCAGATTGCCCAGTGTTTTGATGTTCTTTCTCTTTTGTATCATAGTAAAACATACAAAACACAATCCCTGTTGTCGCAATATGAACCCCCGGAAAACAGTTACCAATTAACAAGCATCTGAATATAATATTTCTGTCGCTTTTCCTTTCTCGGCCGAAAAAATAGTAAACCCCAGGAAAAATGAACCAATCAATGGGCATGTTCCGGTGTGCGGGTAACTATTACCTGTACTCCAGTTAACCCAATGTGCATGTATACCTATACGATTTTACTCGGACACATTTTCAACAGAAATGTCCCCAAACTATGATACAAGTTACAGATATAGTAAATAACAGGTATATTTAATTAAAGATTAACCAAATTCGTTCGACCTAGGTATCATATCAATACATGTGTTTCTTTTGACAGTTTTATTTCATGTGCTGCAGCACACTTAATACCGTGTTTCGTTATATAATGTACGAGACGACTGAAAAATTTAATGATTAAATTGTTTTAATTTTGTGACACTTTTACCACCATAACTTATTAGCTTATTATCTCACAAATTCTTTATTGCTATTTTCAAATACCCATGCCGCTTTTGCGACTACGCAAACACGGTATTGCACAATCGTGTATATATTTTGATGTGACATCATTAACATTACATATTAAACATTGCGTTAAGACGCGCAAAATGTTAGCGTTACACTTTAGGCGCGTCAATGAAAAGTTTTCCTTTTTCACTTTAAACAGTCTGTATTTTAGGTATGTGATAAGATAGTATACTCGTGTATGTTCATTACAGATTTTATTGACTCGTTTTATAAAAATAGTATTATACTCGCCAGAGGCTTTTCTATATGTTAGATGCACAAATGGTACTGTGATTCAAACCAAAGTCTTTGTCCCCAATATTTAATAAATTTAAGGCATAATATATGACCATCATAACGAATTTCTTATATCATGAATAGATTATTAGAATCTTACATACATACGGGAACATTTAGCTCGAGGATACCTGTTTACGAGGCTTGGTTTCCGCTGAAAAGTTGTAACTCGAAAGCAAAAAATTCCCTTTAGTTACGACAGTCGGTGTTTGATTATTTTTCGTGCTTACTTGATATAAATTATTATCTCGAAAAGAAAAAAAAAACAAAAAACAAAAGCTAATATTTCCATTTAGCCCTTTTCGGTGAGAAGCGGATGAACTTCAGACGGCAATATGACGTCATGCATAGAACGCAATTCATTCATGATACATGATTCTTGGGATACGTCATTTAGAACACGCGACTTGTCTTACACGGGTAGGGGTGTAAGACAAGAGTTTTTTTTTCTAGCACAAGTTTAAACAGTTGACAATCCTTTCTGATATGCAAGAAGTAAATTAAAAGACAAAAGTATAATTAATTCTTCAAGAAAGCAAACTATTGTTTTACCTTCTTCCCAATTATTGCTGTCACTGTATACAAAAACGGGTTCAGAGCAGAGTTAATTGGTAAAATGAAAACGACTGACCATGCATAAACACCACTTGGAATCGGTAATCCGTTCAAGGCTAAAATACCTGAAAAAAAGGAAAAGCTGTACTTTTGACATTGTTAAATGAGATTCAACAGCGCACTTATTGTTTTTTTATGTTTTTATAATAAGAACATATATATCATGTACAGGTATATATTTCGAAAAAAACTTGAACTAGAAAATTGAAAAGTCACATCCTTACGAATAAAAAGAAAAATATACTGCTTTTACATTAGGTGCTACATATAAAATTGAGCACTATCGTTGAAGTAAGACGTCTGTAATCCAGTTTAATTAATAAATTGTAATGCAGACAATACCAACACATATGTCATATGTATGCGAGTTCTTACCCATCACACCTATCGGAAACCAACAAAGGAAATCAGTTGTTGCAACGAGTATAAGATTTCTAGCAACTTTCAAGTCACGTCTTCTTGACATTTGTGTCTTCTTCATAACTGATGTTGATCGTCGAAGTTCTGTGAATATTGAGATTTGTCCTATAGCAACAAGAATGAAAGTACAAAAATTCAGGCCGACAAAAATGGATACAGAATAAATCCACCCTGGAGGTTTATCTCGTGTTAAAGGCAATGCAGTACAAACCCCTGTTCTAGAGTAAAATTCGTTTTGGAAGTGACTTGTGTAAAGAATTGGAATGACCGATAGGGTGATTGAAATGAACCAGCACAATGCACAAGAGACATAGGCCTTCATAGGTCCAAACCTCACTGTACCAAACGGAAACTTGATCACTAAAAGTCTATCTAATGTTATCAAGCAAAGAAAGAGGACACTGGCTTCAGATGAAATTGTAGATAAAACTCCGGCAGTAATACACCAATTACTGTTTCTCCATTGATCGTCCACAAATATATATCTGAAAAAGAAATGGGAATAAATTATTTGAATTTAAGAATTATTTTTTTGTTTATTTATGTACCAATAGGTTCGTCGTCTATTAATGTAAATAAATATTTTTTTTATTATTACCTATTTCCTTTGGCATGTACAGGTAATGGAAACAAATTCTATTTAAGTAATCCCATTCTGATGTGTGAGAAATAAATGTACATTTGTAAATAACAATTACGGAATTATTGACTTAATTTAACTGTTTAAATACTTCTTTGAAAAAGAGGATACTTCGATCAAATAATGTGTAAACAATTTATATTTTATATCGACTCGTTTGTGTGATGAATGATATAAAAGTTTATTGTTATGAATATAGCATAAAGAAACATATAGCTTTATTTAGTCGTAAAATGTATACAGCTACAACTATGAAGCCAAGGTAAAGTGTACATGTACCATATCTTCTTCTGTTTGGTATGATTAATTCGTGTATTTGTAGAAATTGTATCTAAATCATAAATGATTATTAATAACTGTTCACTGCAACATGACTCGGCAGTTTTGTTAATATTTAGGACTGAGTACCTGTTGCTATTAAGAGAAAATTGTTTTTAAATTTAATCAGTTAAAATGTTGTTTTTGAACGGAGAAACAGTCAGTATCTGTTTCTGTAAAGTGAAGGGTCTTTACCAACTGCTGTTACAGGCCGGACTATCTAGCTCGAGGCTCTGTAAAATTCCACCGAGAACTAGATATTCCCGATTGTAACGAAAGCCGGTGTTTGATTCATTTTCTTGCATATTATAAATCAATGATATTTCGAAAAGAAATTGTGAAAAACTAATATTTCCATTTAGCACTTTTTTGTTTGTTTGATTGGGGGTTACGTCACACCGATACAGTATAGGTCATATGGCGACGTTTCAGCTTTACTGGTGGATTTAGACCTCAGTGTATTATTTCAGGCACGAACGGGCACCTAAGTTGAAAAACCGACGTTCCGTAAGCTAGTTTGATAGCTTCCTCCCATGAAAGAATCCAAAGTCCCTCTCGGGATTCGAACCTACAGCAGTGAGGGGGCAAGTGGTTTGAAGTCAACGACCTTAACCACTAATCCACGTTTTTTTCTAATAGTAGCAAAGTATGAATTAAAACTTATTCATATCAGCACAATGACGTCATGCTAGGAATGCAATTGATTGATAAAAGGTGCGTGAGAATGACGTCATATAAAACACGCAGGTTGTGTTACATGGGTTATATGACAGATTTTTCTAGCACCGGTGTAAACAATAGATAAACTTCTTCATATCAGCACAATAAAGTCATGCTTAGAATGCAATTGATTGATAAAAGGTGCCTAAGAATGACATCATATAAGACACGCAGGTTGGCTAACATGGGGTGTATGACAGATGTTTCTGATAATCCTTTCTGATATGCAAGAACAATAAATCAGCACTTGTTACTGCGTTGTTACTGAGGAAACAGTTATAAATCAGTACCCGTTTTTGTATAGTGAACCAGTCATTTATCAAGACCCGTTGCTAAAGAGTGAATCAGCAATTGCTATCATGATGAGATAAACGCTTATTAGGAATTCTGTAAATACAAGGTTAGTTACTAATATGCCATTTCATATATTTAGCCTTTCACGATAGTATACGTGATCAATACATTTTTTGTATAGTGAGTTAGTCCTTTATCAATACCTGTTTCTATAGAGTGAATCAGCAACTGCTATCATGATGAGGTAAACACCCATCAGGAAATCTGCAACTGCTAGGTTGGTTACAAATATGCCATATCCTATTTTTAGCCTTTCACGATCGTACACGAGACGGTAGATAATTGACGATACGTTCCCGAGCAATGAAGCTACACCAACTATCCAAAGGACAGCTTGAAGTACAGAGTTTCTCATCAGGTCTTCACATGAAGAAAACTCATTCTTCAGTGGTTTGCAATCTTCTTCAGGAAGATAACAAGGTCGGATACAGCAGAATTTAAATGCAGGTGTATGAAGCTCCCGAAGTGATCTTACGCCGTTAAACATAGATTCTCCGAATTTTATAACTTTATTGCCTTCAAAGTTAATTTTATGAACAAGCGTATTGTTGAAGACATAATCTTCAATTTCCTCAATTTTGTTGTAAGAAATATCGATACTGTCCAACTGCAAGCCAGAGAATGTAAGTGAACTAATCTTTTTCAGGTTTGTGCCGGATATTTTTAAGCTTCTAACTGATTCCAAACCTTTAAAAGCAGTCGATGAAATCATTGTTAATTCTTTACTTCTGTCAAGATTCAAATATGTTAGGCGTCGAAGCTTGCTAAAAACCATATCAGGTAATCGCTGTATTCTATTGTTGCTAAGATCTAACGATAACAAATGTTTCAAGTCAAAGAAAGCTCTTTCATCAATATAATGAATACTACATGATGAAATATTAAGTCGTAACATGTAAGGAAAACTTAATTTTTGTTTAGGTATTTCTTTAACTTGTGGATTTATGCTTAAATCAAGACTTCTAGCCTGTACAGTCAATGATGAAATATCAGACATTGATATATTGGCTTCCTTACAACTGATAACATCACCCGTACAATTACATTTCTCTGGACATACAGAATTACAAAGTCGTTCATCATCACCATTTCTGCAATGAATGATATCATCACATACTTGTTCAAATGGTATACATTGCTTACTAGACAAACATCTGTACTTCCCAGCACATGGTACAATTGTAGCCTCTGAAACGGACATATTAAGAAAATATATTTTTACACATGAGTTTTAAAACAAATCGTCATCAAAGACTACATTATCGTTGTAAGCATGGTTAAATAATAGTTTATTGGTTTTTCTTAGTAGTAAAATTTTTGATATTGTCAGGTATCACCGATGTAATCATTTGATAAAGCTAAATATGAAATATAAAATGAAAGTGGACGGAGTCAAAACTCATATATATATTTTATGGTACTTCTTTGGTCATTTTGTTTTAAAAATCTGATTGTTAAAAAACAAACATTTTTTTGTTGAATTTTGTTTCGAAAACTGTCTTGAATGATAGAAAATGATCTAACAATGTAAATAAATTCGAACACCAATATAATTTATTCTGTCATAAACGCTGCACAGACGTTTTGAAGAGTTGTTAACGTGACGTCACAATGTAGCGCCAAACAGCGCATGCACGAATAGCCAAAGCAAGACCGCTATTTCAATACCGCTAACTAAATAAATTTCACAATTATTTCACCATATATACTCTATTTTTTTCTTGCAAAATATAAAATGAAATAAAATAAACACACGACATTTCATGTGCATTGAAACCGCGTCTCGCATCTATGAATACATTAATCAATATTTTACTGCGCGCTATACAATTGCAGTTGCGTAGCAAGCACAGATATTTGTAACCATTTTTCATTGATAATGACATTAAATAAAATGTGGTAAATGCATATATTTTCACTCATGCTCGAATCGTAAAAATCTGGGATTTTGTCATGTTTCGTGAAAATATATTCCATATTTCACTTCAACGAAAAAATCCCTCTTAATATTTAAAATCAAAGAAAAAAAAACCTTTCAAAAGATAAAGCGGTGTAATATTTTATATTATTTAACTACAATGTGTAGGCTAAAGAGTCAAGCTGACACTGCTGTTACCTTTACATATTTCTGGAAATCGTCTGAATCCAATCGAAAATAGAGAACTCCATTTACTGATGTGTATATCCTTTACATATTTGTATCTGTTATCTTTATAAAGTGAAGAACTGAAATCTTTTATCAACCGATAGATTGAAAACGATGGCTCTGAAATATTGGATAATGCTAAGCTAGCGACAACTGATGATTCAATACTGTTTTCCAATACAATCACCGCTCTTTTTTCTGGCTTGGAAAACTGCAGTTTTTTAAGAAAGTCTCTTGCCATTGTTTTAAAATTGCATCCAGTTTCCTTAATCTTCTGTTCTACGGTAACACGTTCTATGTTTATTTCCAATAACCTGTAATCTATGTCAAACTTCATTTCTCTATGCAGAATCTTAAAATAAAACAACCTTACGATGTTACTGTCACTGTTTGTGAAAAATTGTTTTGCTAAATGCATTGCTGCTTCCCTGCTCTCAGAGTCATCATTTTCCACAAATAAGATTACTTCTCTATCCAAGTCTCCGCAAGCTGAAATTAAAAATTAAATCAAAATACAGAATGCACTGTATTTAGGTCATACAAAATATTTGTTTTTGTAATCTTGACCTAACCGTATTTCCCCTCAGCATGTTTAAATATCAACAATGTTGCTATTTGACAAAACTTCATAACAAAGACTCTGAGATAGTTACCAATACACTTGAACTAAATAATTGCTGGTTTTGTTTCTATACTGTGTACGGCGATTTTAAAAACAGAAGGGTTAGATCTATTTTTTACAATAAAATAATAATATCCAAGCCACAACTTATCTATAAATGCACAATGTTTAAATTGAGCATACAATTAAAGACCTTGAATTCTATCTAATTCATCTCCGGTATTACTTCGTCCACAGTTAAAATGTCACATTTGATATGCATACAGTAAACAATAATACTTATACTAGATCACATATTCTATTTACTTTCTGAAGGCATTTGAAATTAACACAGATTCACAAAAAAAACGTGTCAATTGTTACACCCCGGCCGGACGATTCATTACAAACTTCACTTTTTGTACTTCTGACCTATTTTTGCCAAAATACGACCCTTACTACAAGCTTTGAAATTTTCTATTTCTTGTTTCAATAGATCCAAGTGTTTTAATGCATAAATACACCGTGTCAACATTATATAACATACATGCACATGATGTATGCAGTTGTGTGTAGTAAATCGTGCAATCTGTCCTGACTTTATTATTTATTAAGTTGTTGCCCTCTGTATATATATCAATACAATTAAAACAAGCAAATCGATTTGTTTTAATCACTTCATATTGTAGACAAAAAATGTAGGTTTGTTGTTTTCTCTCTTTTCGCAAATATAATGAATTCTTTAACAATCTCTGAGAAGGGTAGGCAAACCGTGCGCCTGCTAATTGATGAAGACGGACTTATGCCATATTTCTAGGTAGAGCAGTAAATTAGTGTTTAAAGTTAAGATAGTCACAAAAGAAGTATTTGCTTGAGTTGTTGAGTTATTGGTCGGAAACTGTTATGATATTAAAATGTCATTGCTTTACATACAAGATGAATATTACCTTGACCTTTCGATGCCATGACCCCAATCAATTAGGTTAATGAACTAGCAAGAACAATGCACCTGTAAAATTTGAGGGCGAAAGGTCCACAGGTTGTTGAGTTATCGATCGATAACCGTATTTATAGACTATGTGAATTTGACCTCGACCTTTGATCAATTGAATCTAAAATAAGACTTCTTACTTAAATTCTTACTTCAAAGACTCATGTACCTTAGAAGTTTGAGGTAAAAGGGTCCAAAGGCTGCTGTTCTATTGGTGGTAAAATGTTTTGTTGTAAATTACCAATATGACCTTTGACCAGTAAACCCGTAACCCCTAAATCAATACGGATCATCTGCTTGCCAAGTATTTCTTTAACTTTCAAAGACCATCTATTTATAGTTATACCATTAACATAACAATTTAAAAAACATCAAATTAAAAATTATGATTAATCTTCAATAATTTTTCATTTTTTTTATTCCTTTTCTATAGACATACAAAAAAAATCATTCTAGCTCACAATAAGCAATCGGATTAACAGTGTAATGACGGATATGTAATGTTTCTGTCAAAACTTATTATGTATGTATAAATCTGGAGATTTGTGAAATCATCAATGTCAGAGTCAAAATTTTAGATTGGTAATACCATAGTTTCAAACAATTACCCATTGATACTTTAACAAACAAGGCATTTGGTGAATGCAGCGGTTTGTCTGACTGTTTTGGTGACGCTTTTTATGCAGTGGTATTCTCACTTAATTGGGTAGGAGTCTAAGCGTCTTCAGTTTGGGTATAAATTATTGCATAAATTGCAAAGTGGGAAGTAAAAAAGCTGGTGTAAGTTAAGATCTTTAGGAAAACAATATGATTTTAAAGAAAATTTCGATTGGAAAGAAGCCTTTTACATACAATTGTTGAATAAAGAGAAAAATCACTGCTGTGTAAGATAAAACGTTCCATTTGAAGATATTGAAACCCTAAATTATGTAAATGTTTTGATAATATTCAATCTGTCAGTATTATAGAATCAAATTTTCATTCCTTTGACCTTTTTGCAAAGCATTATAATTGTTTTTGTATTAACCATTATACACCATCGAGCACAGTGGTTTTGTAGTTTGTTCATCAAATGCTCGAAACCATTTGCAAAAAGCAATAGAAATATCTGTGATTCGTCGGCAGTTAATGTATCTATAGTGTCTAGTTGATTACGCATAACATAAACAAAAAAAACCCCAAAAAACAGAAATAATAGGGATAATAATTGCTCTCCCTGCTTTATACCAAATGATGTCGAAATAATTAGATAAACATCTATTTTCTTTGACACATAATTTTACTCCTAAGAATTTTTTTTGATGATATACCATAAGCCATATACTATTTCTATATACGGGGTCAAACGCCGTTTTAAAATCGACAATAACTTTTTACCTATTCACATTTTATCTTTTCATAATACAATAATATCCTACTTATATTACGTTTATAAAACAAAAATCCAACAGTGTGTTTTCCTTTAATAAACAAAATTGTCATTCGTTTGATACATTTACAATACTTTTGCGACAAGTGTTTTATCTAAAATTATCAATTAAAAAGAAAATATTTATAAGAGTAATACCTCTATAATAAATACCTAACCTCTATAACAAGCAACATTAATTAGGTCATGTGGTACATGCACCACGATACCTTTAGTCCAACTTTCTGGCTATATCGGTTTAAACACATGTTGTTAAAAGTTCACTTAATAGTGATGAAATTACTTATTAATAATGTAGCAGTCGAGACTGCCTAAGCGACCCCCTGATTTAAACGACTCCCTATCTTATCCGACCTTGTTTCAGTACTCCCAACGTATTTTCCTATATACATGGTCTGTATTAAACGACTCCCTGTCATATGTGACAAGCGACCCTAGTTGACTGGTCCCAATGCAATGTTTGGTCTGATTTAAACGACTTTCACACCTTTTAATTGTCCGTAAATCAGATAAATAATACCTATTATAACACCCAGAGGGCCAAAATAATTAAGTCCAATTATAATCCAGTAGTAAACAAAGTCTACACACCTCTTTCTCAATTAAACAGTTAACATGTATACATGCAGATATCAAGTGACGTAGCGTATGTTCATGGGAAGCATGACACAATCGATGTGTGTTATGCACAAAATGGCCTGAGTAAACTGGTAAAGACTTGTGTAAGATTTTTATTTCAATTATAGAGTGCCCACGGAAGATTTTTTAGGCAACATTTTTTAATTTACCTTTCTATGGCTGCATAATTAATACGGAAAAAATATTGATACCAAACCAGAAAAAGCTTTGGATATGGATATGTTTAAAGATCTTCATGGTTTATTTCATAAATATGATGCTCAATTTAAGATTTGTCAATTTTGTAAGTTCAAAAAAGCATTATTTATAAAGATATCACCCAATTTAACATTTCATGTAAATAAAAACCATTTAAGGGAGGTAATTAGAACTTTATTTTCTATAAATTCTAAGTCAAATTTTCCAATAAGAAATCAATGCATGTAATTTATTGATTAAATATAATGTGCAAAAATATTTGCAGTACACATTTTACACATTCGTTGATGTTTGAAAATTGTTTTATTTGCATATTTATATCAATATATATGTTTTGCAAGTGTGGTAAACACTCAGTTACAATATCAATTACAACACATACAGGATCTTTAAGTCAGATAGATGATATTTAAATTTAATTTTCTTTGAGACTCCCTGTCATATGTGACCTTTTTCTGAAGATCCCTTGGAAAGTCACATATGACAGTCTCGACTGTGTAGTTCAGATGTATGTAATTAACTTCCACAACTTTTGTCTTTCAATTTCAATTTCTTAATTTTCCGAATTATAACTTAATGCAATTTTTTTTATATCTTTTGAAGAAAAAAAATATTCCAACAACACTGAGCTACCTAGTTATGTTAAGTCATTCACTCTTTAATCATCGTTGTCTTATAAAAAATATCAGAGAATCTAGATAGCATTGTAAAATTAAAAACTTAAAGCAGTTAACGTTGTAATTTCTATATTTGTATTTTTTGCTCTAATTATTGTTGAAGAAAAACAATAATTTACAGTATGTTTTTTCGATCCTTTTCAAGTAGCTTAAAATTATTGACCTTCGATATATTTCTGCTGTCCAGAATTTTTAGTCTTGACTTAAGGTTTTGACTGGATTTGGACGTTGTTATGGTGGCTGATTGGTGCCATTCATGTTTTTGCCCCGCGATCCCGACAAGCAAAACATCTAGAACTAGCAAGTTAAAATGGCGGTCGAAAACACGCTTTTATAAGCGGGGACGCGGGGCGGAGTGAATTTAATAAAACCTCGCCCCGCGGGGGCGCGGAGCGAGATTTCAGAAAGAAAGCGGCGGGGCTTATTAGTAGGGGACGCGGGGCGAAATTGAATAGATAAAATTTAATAAGTAAAACTATGTCCCGTGATCATGTTAATTAGCGTGTTTTCGCTTCGCACTCCAACCAGTACAACTTGTCAATTCTCGACTTTTCGCGTAGCGGGGTCGCGGGGCAAAGTTTTATTTATACATGTATAATTTTTCGAAAAACAGAACCATTTTTTCTAACACTTATCCGTAAACATAGAGGTGGAATACCAACTTTAATAAAAGATGTCTTGAGTTTTAAAATGATATAATTTGCCTGTTTAAATTAACTTCTTGTTACATCATTGTTTTTTATTTAAGAATACAAAGTACTTAAATCCAAACATAATAAAGTAAATTGTCACGTAAACCACAACGTAGGAGTTTAATAAAGCCATGTATTAATCAAAACGATATAACTCTTGTGTAATAACACTTTTATGTGATTTCATTTGCGTTCTATACATACGGAATATTATGTTGTAGTAGCTTTCTTGGCCTTTGTATTTTGCTACGAGCTA